TATACATATATATATTTATCTCTGCCAGTGTTTCATTGCACAAAATGGAAGCACAAATTAAAAACTCAATCTTCAACCAGCTCACCTGCTCAGAAGTTGCATGCAGCCAGGTTTTAAATCTCAAATGGATATGGACTGGAGAAAATCAGAGGTGGAAAGAGTAGTAAAAAATTGTAATTGAGTAAAAGTATCTTTACTTTGCCTAAATTTTACTCAGAGTAAAAGTAAAATTACGCATCTCAAAATTTACTCAAGTAAAAATACATAATTACTTCATTTAAAATGTAATTTGAGTAAAAGTTACTTAGTTACTTTGAGTTATTTAATGCAAAAAAGGATGAGTCATGAATCAAATTGACCACAAGGTGTTTTAATCAATTTCAAGGCATATTTCAGTGGACATCCACACTTGCAAAAGATCAGCTGAGCTAAAGAACATACTTCCTCATAGCACAAGGACAGTCAGAACCCGTACCATAAAGTGCAAACTATTTTCAATCCTACGTTCCAACAGACAACACCATAATAGCAATAAAGAAATTTTAACTACGTTTTAAAGTTTTCAAAATGCACACAAAATTAAATGCCTAAAAGATACCAGAAATCAAACTAAAACGCAACAGGATCCCACTGTTATTAACAAGCTCCTCATTTAATGATTTTTTTCCTGACACTTGTTTTACTTTAATAGTGATTTTTAACTGTTTCTTACATCAATTGTTTATATATTTGAGTTGTGTATATAAAGTGCTGTAAAAGTCAAAAGTCTTCTTCTATTTTTTAATGGCGATTAAGTGTCGTTTCTGTGACACAGGGGTTTAAATTTCCGCATTTAATTTTTTCATGATCAGTATTTTTTTTTTTTACTCAGTAATGTGAGGGGGTTTTAAATGTAGCGAAGTAAAACTACGTAGGTTAAAATTTACTCGAGTAAAAGTAAAAATTACTTATTTCAAAAACTACTCAGAAAATTACAAATGACGCATAAAAAGTACTCAATTACAGTAACTTGAGTAAATGTAATTCGTTACTTTCCACCCCTGGAGAAAATAAGCTAGCATTAAACTTCTATAGAAGAATAGTCTTCAAAATCCCTGATGTGAAATTTAAAAATATTCCTCTATATAAGTGGATAGACACGCATATGTGTAATATGCGTATGTCTATGTTGTAGCCAAATCTGCTAGGTGATAACATATTGGGGCCAAAAAAAGCAAAACCTGAGAATCATCTATTTGAAGTGTTCTTTTCTAAATAAAATAAATTATTGCAGGGTTTCTTTCTAAACAACTTGAAGGCTCATCTTATTTTTTCCTTCTTTTCAGATTCCTCCACATTCGCGTTGGAAGCTGCAAAAGAATAAAGGTAAAGAAGATAAAACTCATTATTTTTTCCAGGACACATATTCTGATGCAAAACAGCATGTGCAACATTAGGGAGCAAAATGTCAGGGCTGTCATAATGTCGTACTGCACAAGCGTATCTCTCAGCCAAATGCCACACCAAGACTCTGCATACAAAGAATCCACCAAAACTGCTTTTAGCTTTGTCATGAATGAACAACATAGCCTGCTTCAAGAGAAGACAGATTTGTAGAGATGAGTCTATGGGTGTTTGACTGCAGTGTGTCTCAGTATGTGTAGCAAATGAGGCAGAAACTGTTAAGAATAGAGCTTGAGTTTTGCGGTAGTCGTCGGCTGTTATTAATGACTCATTCCCAGTGGCCCTTGGGCCCTTGATGTGCAGTCTGTTCAGAGATCACCTCAACCTCATATAACTCAGTTTGGTTAGAGGAGAAATTATCATTAAAGCAGCAAAAGGAATATGGAAAATGTAAGCAGAATGAGGAGATGTATCCTCATTAAATCACTGTTAATGAAGAGCTAATGATCATGAACAGGGTAATTACTAGGACTCTAATCTGCACAGGGGACAGATTCACATAAAGTGTATACATTCTAATTTACAGAAAACAAATGGTAAATCGTCTTGGCTTTGTAGCTTGTTTTACAATGATGTACAGAACAGTGGTCTTTATTATGATTTCTTGTGGTCTGATGTCAAGAACATTTGAGATTTGTCTCTGCTTCAGCACACCTGAGTCAAAGAACTTGGGATTTGGAAGCAAGGGCACATCCAAAAGGTGCAGGATAAACAAATTGAGGTATAACGTATATAAGAGACTCTTAATTATACAGCAAGACTAACTAAGCCTGATTTTGAATTTTCTAATGTCATTTTAACATTTCTCTAAACAAGATTACTTCTTGTGTTTCTATATGATTATTTTATTTGAGTTTAAGTTTCTGTCTTGCTGTTC